AATGGTGGTGTTATCTTTGAAGGTATCGAGCCCAGAAAATGATATAGGTCATCATACTTTAAGCATTGTTAACATTATATCGTTCATCTTTTCTTATTTACATACTTGCGTTTATTGGGAACTACCACATAACAATCACGATTTACGCCTCGCTTTTAGATTATGTTGGCACAAGTCTTTTGTAGTGCTATTTCCACAAACATGTCGTCGTCTATGCGACCGAACACCAGCTTAATTGCGCTCCCCCTCTCCACACTCCGACAGACACTTTCCTGCCCCCCGCGGCAGCCTGCCATGCTCTGAATCACTGGCGTAGTTAATGCTCCTGCTCCTCGTCAGCAGTGACAAGATGACTGCACCTGTCCGCTATAAAGTTCCTGCAGTCTACTCCATCACATCTATGGCGGGGCGTGTGAGCACCTGTAAACAGCTCGAGCCTTTACTTTCGCGGTGCGAATCGTGCACAGATGCGGTCGCGCGCGCATGCGCATCAGGCTAGTCTTTCCCGTTACTCTTTCCTGTGACTTAAGTACGTGTTGAGCTCCATCTTCACAGGTCATGCATATGTTTGCGCGAGGCGAACGGACGCCATTCGCTCGCTCTTGCAGCGGATCTAATCCGATGGGAAGACGCGGAACCCCCACTGCTTCACCGTGTCCCTACCACTCAACAATATATGATCAGATGGCTGAACATCACAGGCGTGCATGCGCCGTGCCCCCAGGGGCACGTGCCTTCCATTCTATCAAGTTATGACATGTGATAATATGAGCATTGATGCATGCTGACTATTACAAATTTGCGGCAGACAAATAAATCTACACAAATCGAGAATGTGCGACGTTGTTTTACCCTTTATGCAAGGATTTTCGCGAGCGGGCATAATAGCCGAGTGGTCAGTGCCTTGGGCGCCAACAGCCCGAGCTCGGATTCGAAGCCCCGGTGCACCACGGCCCCTTAGCGCTAATATAGCCAATGCTGTCGCTGGCGCTCCATAAAAGGAGCGTGGCGACATGCGTCACGTCGCTTTAAAAAATTGGAATGTCGCCCGCCTTTAGCGCGCTAACCAGGGGTTTGAAAACTTTTTGCTTATTGTGCCTCTCCGATTGCGAACTCTTGCGTACTCCCCCCCCCCCCCACACACACACACGCTAAACATGCATATCAGATTAATTCACCGGGTTCAGCCAACTTGTTTATCAATGTTGCTGAGCAAGAAACAAAAGCTCTTTAAAGTCAGGCTTTGCCTTATGTTGCGGCAAAGTTGTGTGTCTGTGCACGTGTGTGTGTGTGTGTGTGTGTGTGTGGTGTGTGTGTGTGTGTGGTGTGGTGTGTGTGTGTTGGTGTGGTGTGTGTGTGTGTGTGTGGGTGTGTGTGTGTGTGTGTGTGTGTGTGTGTGTGTGTGTGTGTGTGTGTGTGTGTGTGTGTGTGTGTGTGTGTGTGTGTGTGTGTGTGTGGTGTGTGGTGTTGTGTGTGTTGTGTGTTGTGTGTGTGTGTGTGTGTGGTGTGTGTGTGTGGTGTGTGGGTGTGTGTGGGGTGTTTGTGTGTGTGTGTGGTGGGTGTGTGGTGTGTGTGTTGTGTGTGTGTGTGTGGTGTGTGTGTGTGTGTGTGTGTGGGTGTGGTGTGTGTGTGTGTGTGTGTGTGTGTGTGTGTTGGTGTGGGTGGGTGTGGTGTTGTGTGTGGGTGTGTGTGTGGTGTGGTGGGTGTGTGTGTGGTGTGGGTGTGTGTGTGTGTGTGTGTGTGGGTGTGTGGTGTGTGTTTGTGTGTGTGTTTGCGGTGGCTTTCTTTCTCGCTATGTAACGATTCGCTCAACAGTCTTCAACACCATGCCTCGATAGCGTGAAAGCGCGCTACGACGGCCACGTCCACGTGCCAGCCATTTCGTACCTCTTCATACAGCACATACGCAACCATTAGTGCACGTTTTCGCGTGAACGTTCAGTTTTGGTCAGCGCCTTTGGAAATATCTGATCGTCCCAAAACGTTTATGGCTTTTTTCTCCTGTGGAACCGATTAGCTGGTGGACAGAAAAAAAACATCTAGAACTTGGATGGCGGGCCATGGCCGTACACCACCGACGACATCTTGGTGAACATCGCGAACTGTGCCGTGGGGGGCTGCTGGTCCGTTTGGAAAGATGCCATGAGCGTCCACACAGAGCAACAGCGTACCTGAATCGCCTCCGGAAAAGGTGTCACAGACACATAAATGTCATTGTCATCCGAAGGAGTTTAACATCATCGGAAAAGGTGTCACAGACACAGAAATGTCATCGTTATCCGGAGGAGACTGACATCATCGGAAAGGTGTCACAGACACAGAAATGTCATAGTCATCCGAAGGAGGCTGACATCATCGGAAAATCCAACCCATCCGTGGAAGGAAAACCATGATTGCAAGCGATCGAGACCGAGGACCCGAAATCGCAGGTTAAATATGTCGTTTATCACTAAACATCTTGGATGTTGACATGCTGGAGCTGATCCTGCAGCCGCTTGCAGTCATGGCCACATCTTGAGGAGAAAACTGTATTGTTCTCTACAAATGTTGAATTTTTCAAAGGGTTCCCATCTCTAGAATTAACAGAAGTTGGAGCATTCCAATACAGGTGTTTGCCATACAGAGTCTTACAAATAACACATTACAAATTTTGCTTTTAATGATCCCAGTTCGCGCTATCCGAGGCGCCTATCGCAGCGCGTGATTATGTTAAGTAGCATGCAGAAATGTCACTCTTGCTCCCGGCGCTGCTGCTTGCTCTTTTTAAATCCCTAAACCTTTCCAGCATATATGTCGACTAGAAGTCTACTGAAGACTCATCGAGACATAATCGCAGACAAGACTCGGCAGACACGTATGCAATGTGCCGAGTGCACAAAATCCCCCATGCCTGGGTCAACAGTTACTGGCCGATCTTTGTTCGCTAAAACCACGAAATCTCGTGCGGCACCCATGCATCTCTGTCCGCAGCTTCTTACAGTGCCTGCAAACCAAGCCGTCGTTCGATCGCACACGCTCTGGACTCTTATAATCGTGACGCGCTGCCGTAAGTCAGCTGATACGACACGGATCTGTCAGGCGCGACCGCATCGGATGTTTTTCGCTGATTCGGATCTACCGCTCACATAAGCTATGTTAGATCCGCTTATGCCGGCGACCGCACGCTTCTTGCGAGATTCTGGCCGGACTGGCTCCTTCTTGATTACATTGTGGAACATGGCTTTAGCAACATTCCGTATACCAGGGCGGCGCGGGGTCAGCCTGTCGGTAGGCCTCGCCAGACGGAGCTGCGGGAGCCGCTGCGGAGCCGCGGAGGCCGCCGCTGGCTAGGCCTCGTCAGACGGAGCTGCAGGAGCCGCCGCTGGCTAGGCCTCGTCAGACGGAGCTGCGGGAGCCGTCGCTGAATAGGCCTCACCAGACAGAGCCGTAGGAGCCGCCGCTGGGTAGGCCCTGACCTCTAAATTTGCGCTCGTCGCGTACACTCACACAGACTAGGGTTCAGAGCAGGAGACTTACTTGGGTGAGCCATGATCTCAACAAGTACCTTTTGTCGTTTGTGTGGTACAGAGCGTTTCGGGATAAGAAAACATGCTTTTCATCACATTATTATTTCTCGAAAATTGATGTCAAGCAACACTGGTAGGGACGCTTACACATAACACAAAGCGATCTAAAAAGCCGACCAGAATGGAATGGATTCGGACACAGTGCGCGTAACTGCTTTCTATGGCTGCTGCGGAGGATGTACTGTTAACACAGACTTTCCACCGCATTCGTCAAATGCCGCCAAAACAAAACAATAAGGGTCCGCAGTACATAAAACACGAGGCAAATGTGTCTGAAGACATCAAGCATACACGATACCCATGAGTCACATCGCGCGACTCTGAATTCGGCTTTGACTCGACACTCTCCGTTCATCCTGCGTCGTCCCTGGGCAGCCGCCGACCAAACAGACACGAAACGCCGTCCATGTAATGCTTTACAACCGTTCGCATGCGCGCACGCAGGGCGCACCTCGCCGCATCGCAGCCCGTCCGCATATTGTACTTATTCCAACAGTGTTCAGTACGTGCGGTGCCGCCGCTGGCCGCCGGGCTTCGCGCAGTCCCGTCCCATCACAGAGCCGTCACGTGTGGTTGGACGGACGCGCCACGCTCACAACAACAGGTGCAGGACGGCGCGGGGGCTGCCCCCGACTCCGCCGCCAAAGCTCGCCGCCCGGCCCTCCGCGCGGCGTCCTAGACGGAGGCGCGAGACGCCGCGGGCGACGAGGACGGCAGGTGAGCTGGCTTCAGCAGCGCAGCCGTCTCTGGAAGCGGGCCGCTCTGGCACGCCGCACACACGCCGTTTGCGCGGCAAACAGCCCGCGAGGCCCGTGGGCGGCGGCTACCCTGTCTTAGCTTAGCTCTATCACAGAAAACGCTTGTGTGTATGTCTGTGTGTATGCAGGTGTTCGTGTGTCGTCGGGGGATCGCGGGTCAACGTCCGAGCGCGTGTGGGTGTGTGTGTGTGGGTGTGTGCGCGCGCGCGTGTATGTAAGCCCCTCGTGTGTACATGCGCTTACAGGTGTGGTCGGTTTGGGACGTCTGAGTGGCCAGACTCGCCCCCCCCCCCCCCCTGACCTTGGCTGGCACAAATGACGTCAATAGCGGCTCTTGTGTCACAAGCCCGCGCCTCGTCGTCTTCCCGTCACTTCAGCACATCGTGCCTCGCTTTGCTCCACTTCACCGGCCGCCTGCTAGGTCAGAGTGATCCAGTGATCCGGATCAAGCGCCCACACCGCGAGATCCCTTGGTGCAGCTGCAGCGCCAACGCCGCCCCCGGTCAGCGCGCTGAGGTCAGCCACGAGTCGCTCCGGGTCAAGTCGTCCGGGTCAGCTTCGGTTCACTTGCTCCCGGCTCCAGTCCGTCCGCCCCTCTTGGAGGCCGTAGTGCACCACTCTGACCTCAGCTCCGCGACCCGCCGGCTGCCGCAGCGGCCGCGCTCGCGGTAGCCGCCTACAACACCTGGAAGTTCTGGTAGCGGTAGTCGAACTCGGCGGCGATGCTGTGCCGGCTCACCGGAGCTGCCGTGGGCTGCGCCGGCGGCAGCGGGCTCACGTGGCTGTTAACCTGAAGGACGGGTACGCCGAGCGTCAGACACGGATACGCCGAGCGTCAGACACGGGTACGCCGAGCGTCAGACACGGATACGCCGAGCGTCAGACACGGGTACGCCGAGCGTCAGACACGGATACGCCGAGCGTCAGACACGGGTACGCCGAGCGTCAAACACGGGTACGCCGAGCGTCAAACACGGGTACGAGCGGCGTCAGACACGGATGTGCCGAGCGTCAGACACGGGTACGCCGAGCGTCAGACACGGATACGCCGAGCGTCAAACACGGGTAAGCCGAGCGTCAAACACGGGTACGCCGAGTGTCAAACACGGGTAAGCCGAGCGTCAAACACGGGTACGCCGAGCGTCAGACACGGATGTGCCGAGCGTCAGACACGGGTACGCCGAGCGTCAGACACGGATACGCCGAGCGTCAAACACGGGTACGCCGAGCGTCAGACACGGGTACGCTAAGCGTCAAACACGAACACGCCGAGGAGGCAACGGTAGGATATAACAGGTAACACTACTCATGTGTTTCTGGACATGTGATGTTGTGTAATCAAGTACGTATACAAATTCATCATGGGGATAACTCGATTCTGTCTAACAGTATCATACAAAAGTGGTTAGCAAGTAACTGCGAGAGCAAAATTTGGAATTCCTCAAACCAGGGCTCCACACTGATTCTTCCTTGCGTCTGCGAAAGTGGTCAGAGCTCGCAATGCTAATCCTGCTGAGAATTAGCTGGTGTAAGACAGTTAAAACCTGTTAGAACTGTGCTACGGCAGCTCACGGGCGTGGTCGGGTCAGCAGATCATCAGGGATTATCACCGGTCATCTCCCCTCTCGGTCGTTGGCTCACCTGGGAGTTGATCTGGCCGTGCTGGTTCAGGTGATACTCCATGTTGCCGTAGTACCCGCCGTACTGCGGGTACCCACCAGCCGGATTAGCCGAGTAAGGCCTCTCCATCGCCGGCTGGTTCGACACGAGGTCGCCCATCGGGTTCCAGATGGTGTTGTAGCCCCCGCCGTAACTCTGTGATGCAAACGGAAGGCGTCAGAGGAAATGGCTGCAACAGTGATCTGCGGCTAAGCCGCATGGGAAAGGATCAGCCGGCGTCAAATGCGACACTAAGGGGAGTCATACGGCGTCGAGGAGCGTCACACGAAGCTGAGAGGCATCACGCAAAGTTGAGAAACGTCGCACGACACCAAGACACGACATGACTCCTCGCACGACACCACTTGGCGCTGGGGTTCACACAATGCTAAACGGTACCACAATACGTTCCGAGGCGTCACACGATTCTAACAGGTGCCATGTGACACTGAGGACCATCATACGGCACTCGGCATCGTCACACAACGCTGAATTGCTCTGCAGCGGCTGCACGCCTCCGCCAGTCATGCAGCGATTTTTTCCCCGTATAGCGTTTAATGGCGGCCGATATGTCCAGATCCGGGACGTTATTGATGGATTCATGCCGACAGGAACTGAGACCGGAGCTTCGCTAGCCCGCGTCAAAGAGTGCATACATGCCGGCAGGAACTGTGACCAGAGCCACCTCGCCACGTGCTACCGATGAAACCCGGAGCAGAACCCCGTGGCACGGACTTCCGTACTGGCACACGGGTGTGCGGACGGACATGCTGGTGGCCGCGGTCTCCTGCGGAGCGCGCCTCCAGCCACAGCCGGGGGGAGGGGGGACCGGCGCGCGAGCGGCATCCTTACCTGGTGCGGCGTGCTGACGGGCGTGCTGACCGGCGGCGTTGGCGAGCACGTGACCGGCGGAGAGTACGGCGAGGCGCGCTGCACGGCCGCCGGCGGCGACGGCGTGCCCGGCGTCACCGTCGACAGGTCGCCGGCCGTGCTCGGCGGCGAGCTGGCTGCCGGCGGCGTGCGCGTGCGCGGCTTCGGCTTCGGCTTGGTCTCGGGCGGCGGCGCCGTGCCGTTCGTGTTGGTCTGCTTGGCCTGCTGGCGGATCTTGGCGCGCCGGTTCTTGAACCAGACCTGCGAGGGACATCGTCATATCACCGGACGCCAAAAGCTGTCCTCATAGCGGCGGACGCCGCAAGGCGTCATCAATATTACCAACCGCCACGAGGCGTCCCATGGCACGCGATCTTCGGACGTCGTCAAGGGCCATGAAGACGTCATTTGATAGCACGTCATCACGCGTCCCCACGTACCCAGATGTGATCGAGTGATCGGATCTCACGTCATCACGCTAATGTTATCGCGCCAACAAGGCCATCTGGTCGTCACAGCTGCTGCACCACCACGGCTCGCGCGCTTGTCACAGGTGGTGTTCACGCCGCCTGCGACAAGCACCGGAGGGCCATGACCGCCTACCGGCCGCTGACCCGGCAACACAAAACCCTCGCAGGAATGCGTCACAGCACAAATCTCTCCTCAGGAATGCGTCACAGCACAAATCCCCGTCTGGAATTTTTCACGTTCGTGCGCGGCTTACAGCGTTTCTGTGTACATGGCGTTGGCCGAGTTGACACACTGCGGCAGTGGTTTCCGACAAATCCTCAGGCGCCGGTGCTGGTCTGGGGATCAGCCGCCTTTCAGACAACTCCACTAATACTGGCCCTGTTCGGGGAACTGGACATTGCCACAGGGGCGGTGACGAAGTGGAGAGCCTCCTTTAACGTCGAAGGTCAAGAGGTAAGCAGGGTTAAGCCCGGTCAGAGTGTGGCGTGAAGACAGACCGAAGACACCGAGGACCGGTTTCGACTCGACGGCCGAGTGGAAGTGGTTCATCGGGGAAGGAAGTGAAGTCCGGAAGGTCACCGCACTCTCCGGTCATTGACGCTGTCCCGGGAAGCGATCTCTGGAGTCTTGAGCCGATTGGTCGGCGGGCGCGGGCGTTACAAGGATCCGGCCGGCCGTCACAACGCAGTGTCAAGATGGCTATCGTCACTTAGATCCGCCTAGTTTTGGCCGCCTAGTTTTGGCCATCGGGTGCTTTGGGTGATCCAACACCAACGTCTCCAGGGAAGACTGAATTCAGGTATTCATTAAATTTTTTAGTCGTTAATGCATCCATTATCATCCAGGCCAAAAAGGAAATCTTAGCCATGCAAACAGGAGTACTGAAAAGTGCCGCGGGCAAAAAGAGCAGCGGAATGAGATGTTTCTCTTCATTCGCTACCTTCCAACACGTTACGCCTGAAGGCGAAGTCGAACGCTTCAGTTTACTGGGAAGTCACGCATTGCGCACCTTTTCGGACCTCGCTCTAACACCAGAAATAGTTATCAAACACGGGGACGGGACTACAACGACAGGCGCCAGGTGTCCGCGGCTTTCTCCGCGTGCTGCACGCCGGCTTCGGGTCGGGTCGATCTGGGGGCGTTCTCACGTGCGCCAGCCGCCCTGCCCGGCTGGCGCTGTGTTCGCGATGCGCTCACCTGGACGCGCGACTCCGGCAGGTTGATCTTGATGGCCACCTCCTCGCGCATGAAGATGTCCGGGTAGCGCGTCTTCTGGAACAGGCCCTCGAGGATGTCCAGCTGCTGACGCGTGAACGTGGTGCGCTCACGCCGCTGCTTGCGGCCGTTGCTGTTGCCGGACGCTGCAACAGCAGGGCGCTCTCAGCGACGGCGGCACATCGTCCGGGCGGAGACCCGGGTCGCCGTCACCGACACCGTGGGCTGCCAGCTGTCTACGGTCACCAGCCCGAAGAAGGTTGGGGGATGTGGAGGAGAAGATGTTGCGAGGAGCCGACTCTTGCCTACGTGTGCATTTGTGGGTCTGGTTCATAGGCATGTTGAGGTTGATGGTCAATAGACGAGGCTGAAATTGTCGTCCGTTTAATGCGCACGAATCGAACAAACATAATGAGTGAGTACCGCCATGGGCGGCAGTTTCCATAATCTGCGGCGGCGCTCCTGGCCCTAAGCTCTGTGTTACTAACGACGAATTCTTGCAGACATATATGCAATAACTTAGAATTATAATATCATTCACTTGATTTTCTGGTATTTCCATCAAGCAGGCCGTTGCCTGCTTGCTCTAGCTATCAAAAGGGAAAGCATCGACCGGCACCGCTGACCAGAGCAAGCGCCTTCGCGATTCACGCACGTTCCCATCCACGCCACTCTGCCCGCTAATGGAGGGAATCATCGCTTCGAAAGCGCACCAGACAGGCTGTCAGCGGCCTCACAGTCGGCCACGTGACCCTTTGAGTGAGGCCCCGCGATTCTGCCGAGCCTGACACCGGATACCCGCCCGCGTCAGGCGCGGCCGGCAGCGCTGCGTACGGCTTCTGCGACCCACGCCATCGGTAGGGGCGCTGACCTGCCGCTACAGGAGGGACAGGGACAGGGGCGCTGGCCGCGCGGCTCACACCCTGCAGCGTCCTGCAGCGCGGTCCGTGGAGGGGGCGGCTCTCGTGACAGCGGCACGAGGCCGGGCTGTCGTTCTTAGATCGGGCGGGGCTTAAGAGATAGAGTGCCTGGGCTATTGTCGCGCTCGGCGCGTGACCGGCGGCCCCGCTGACGCTGTCAGCTCGGTGCAGCAGGCGCATGACTCGCGGCCGGACTGGTCTGGTCCGGCGCCCGATGGCGGTGTCAGCTCGGTGCAGCAGGCGTGTGGGACTGGTCTGGTCCGGCGCCCGCTGGCGGTGTCAGCTCGGTGCAGCAGGCGCGTGACTCGCGGCCGGACTGGTCTGGTCCGGCGCCCGCTGGCGGTGTCAGCTCGGTGCAGCAGGCGCGTGACTCGCGGCCGGACTGGTCTGGTCCGGCGCCCGCTGGCGGTGTCAGCTCGGTGCAGCAGGCGCATGACTCGCGGCCGGACTGGTCTGGTCCGGCGCCCGCTGACGGGTGCGCTGGAGACAAGCGAGCCGATACGGCCTACAGCCCTGTGGCGCACACCTAGGCCACAATACCTCCACGCGGATACACTAACTACACCGGGCATGTGGAAGTGCAGGTCGTCCTATCAGGCCCAACAGGCGTCTGTATTCACGGCGCTGATGATATGACTTCCAGTTTTATTCTGTGTTATTCTTCTGAACAGGCTGTAATTACCTTGTCATCCCAAGACCTGTCTGAAGTCTGAAAACAGGATACGTTGTCGAAAAGGATGCAACAACAAATGAAATGAGAAAATGATATGATTACTCACTGACGACTCGATCAATCTCACACTTGTGTCCGGGGTGAGGGACGCCTTAAATGAGTCAGTGATCTCAACGGGAGTCAGTCTACCAAACGCGGTCAGCTGATGGCGTCTGGGCCTGAATGGCACACCGTCCGGACACACAGCGCACCACACTGGCACTGAGCGGCGACCACTGACCGCGGCGGCACACAGCCTGGCTCACATGTGGGCCTCACCTCGTGCAAAGTTGGCGCGTGAGCGAATATGGGAGGTGACACATGGGCGCAGGAGCTTGCGCAAGTGGCGTGAATGGGCTTGCACTCAAAGCGAGTCATTTGTTCGACTTTTGTGCTGCTAATAAATTCTTGAAACGAGCATTGAGCACAGACTGGCGAGCTTTAGGCTGAAGCGGAACGCGATGCTGTACTGCTGCGTTGAAATATGAAATAAAAGTGGCAACTTAAACCCAATCGATTATTCGACGCATACTCAGCCACACAGCTGACGCGTAAAGCTGAAATGCCAAACATTTCGAATGAGCGCCACAATTGCTCATAACGTCAAACCGCCAGACGTGCAAAGGTGAGCCGACAACGTGCCATGCCCACAACTTTATTTCTCATAAACCCGTGGGCCTAAGCATGCAGATGACTATGCGTGGCTTACGAAGACAGCCTAATGATGCCTACAAGTCCCAGAAAATATGCGAAGGGTACTCCCCATACCCGCCGAATTCTCGAGAACGGACGTTACTGATGAACAGAGCGATAGTACCTCGATAAAGAGGAGCGCCAACGATGCGCACCGTGGGCGGCAGTCCCTTGACCGCTAGGATTAACACTGACGGTTCCACGGGGCGGCAGCCACGCCATCCTCAGTGAACCCCTGAGGGGACGGCGACTCACCTGGACCGTAGGGGACGCCGGAGGCGAAGCCGTCGGGCATCATGACCGGGTAGCTGGGCCGGGCGACAGTGTAACCCGGCAGCATACCGCCGGCACCGTGCGGCGCGGCGCCGAACGGGGGGAACGCCATGGCACTGCAACGGAAAGAGGACACGCGTCAGAGCGGGAACACGCGTCAGAACGAGAACACTCGTCAAAGCGGGAACACACGTCAGAGAGGGAACACGCGTCAGAACGGGAACACGCGTCAGAGCGGGAGCATGCGTCAGAGCGGGAGCATGCGTCAGAGCGGGAACACGCGTCAGAACGGGAGCACGCGTCAGAAAGAGAACTTGCGTCGGAACAGGAAAACGCATCAGAACGTAAAACGTTCTCACCCGTGGCGGCACACTCAAACATTACTGAGGAGATTCGGGAGCAATCGGAAGTTAAGAAACCGTTATTTTCATGCATCACCAAAGCTTTATTGTTGAAATAAAATAAAGTTATCGGGGTCCAGGCCTCCAAAGGTATACAAAGTGACTGAGCGAAAAATTCAGTCTATCCATGAACGGGGACCAAAAGCCCAAAACTAGACCAAAACTAAAAGCCTAAAGTCTTTGCCATTGTCCAGCCAAATCTCGACTTTGCACATACAGCACAGCGCCTGCAACAAGCCGATGGCACACATCTGAACGGTGTGGAGGGGATTACTGGATAGGCGTTCTCATCACAGACATGTCGATCGTGTGACTCGATCACATGGCGGGACCGCTGAACCACCGACTGCAATGTTAAGAAAAAAAAAACATTTGGCATCCTCTCCATGCGTCACGGTGCCAGCAGGTTTGGAAGGCAGATCACTAAGAAAGCGTTAACAAGGAATGCGTCTAATTGCGTGTATTAAATGATTACAGGGCTTATGGCTTATTGAAAGAACGAGCATGCCAAACAAGTTAGCGCACCACTTTCAGCCCACCACGCCGCAGTGCGCATGACACATTGCATCGACCCAATTCATAGCGCGGTTTCATAATTGCGAAATGGGGAAAAATCAAACCGATATCTTGCTGATGCAACTGAGACTGCAGGAGAAGAGCATGCGGCGAGCCCATATAACATACCAATCGGTCGCCACCGAACCCATCATCGGCCGGCCGCAGGAGTGGTGACCACCGCCAGCGTCCGGCCTGCGAGGCGACGCCGTGTTCCGCAGTCCGTATCAGTCAATTAATCAACCGTCGCCGCAAATGATAGGATCACGTGTCCCCCAACTGGCTGAAATATGCCGCATCGCACACGGATACACTTGTCTCGCGAATGATAACACCAAAATAAAAATCAACTGCCAGCAATCAACGTCATGCTCATCTTCCAGGAGGCGGGAGCGTCGCGTGTCAAGATGACCGATAATCCAGGCAGACGCGCCGGCACGGTGCCCGCGGGGCGCCCTACAGACCGGAATTCCCAGAAAGGGTAAGGACCCGCTGGCACGAGACGGGGGCCGATTTTTTGAGCGACGCCGCGCTGTCCGGCCACGTTGCACTGCGGGCCGGGAGATGTCCTGGTGGGGAGGGGAGGGGAGGGAGGGGGGCGTGCGGTCCGTTTGCGGTGGTGCACCTCGCTCGGCGGACGAGCCCCCGTTAACCGGACAGGAGAGGGAACCCTGGTGCCCTTGAACGATGTGCCCTCTCCCTCTCTCCGGCTCTGGCATCCGGGGAATTAGCGATTTTAGCAGAGACGATATATGCACGGAGTGCGGACGCTGGATGAGCAAGTAGAAAAACGAGAGCCAGCATTGAGTACCGGTTCGGCTGTCTATGGAACTCTCGTTAAATATGCAACGTAACTTCGTGATCACGTTTGATCGCAGAACTTGACGCTTATCCGATCAGATGTCGCCAAGCTCTCGTTATCATTTTGTAATCCCAGTCGAATTGTTAAACGGTTCGAACGGACGCAGAAAACGCGGGTGACTCATTCAATGCACTGTATTTCTCATGTTTAAAGCTGCAATTGTTCATACGGCTGGGCTTAAAAACAGCCATATATGATCTGCTCGTTGTGTGACTTTTGAGCTTCTTTCTCTTTTTACAACGCGTACACAGCTGGCCGTCATGCAAAGATCTCGTCATAGCTGATGTTCCAACTGTGCGCTGCGATTACGCCAAAGGAAAGAAAGCAAACGCGTTACAAGGTTCCTAGCTCTAATCTGAGCACAACCGAACCACACATGCTTATGGTGCTTCGTGGGCATAATCCCAGGCCGCCGCACGGGAACGACAACATGGATGGCCGAGATACCAGCGAGCAGGACAGAGGTAACATGTCCCGGCCCGTAACTCGGTAACACGTCCCGGTCCATGACTCAGTAACACGTCCCAGTCGGTAACTCGGTAACACGTCCCGGTCCATGACTCAGTAACACGTCCCAGTCGGTAACTCGGTAACACATCCCGGTCCATAACTCAGTAACACGTCCCGGTCCGTAACTCGGTAACACGTCCCGGTCCATAATTCAGTAACACGTCACGGTCTGTAATCCGGCAAAACGTCCTGGTCCGTAACTAGTAACACGTCCCGGTCTGTAGCTTGGTAACACGTCCCGGTCCTTAACTCGGTAACGCGTCCCGGTCTGTAGCTCGGTAACACGTCCCAGTCCGTAACTCGGTAGCACGTCCCGGTCTGCAACCTAGCAACACGTCCCGGTCCGTGACTCAGTAACACGTCCCGGTCCGTGACTCGGTAACACGACGCGTTACCCAACTACTTAAGCTAACCGAGACGTGTTACTGAGTTACGTCCCAGTCCGTGACTCGGTAACACGTCCCGGTCCGTCACTTTGAAAGCTTACACAGACAAGTAATACGGGAGGAATCGGCTGGCACGGACTGAATTGCCAAACAAGTTTTCCAATAATATTTCCTTCATGACTGGGAGAAAATTATTTTTGCGAAACTCGCATTTTGCCGTTCAACTTCACATAATTTGGACTCGATGCCTTCCAGCCGCAACAAAGTCCAAACAGTTGAAATGTCGCCACAATCGCTCTTCGTCTTGGATATAGCGCTTCGGATCCAAATGCTACCCACAACGAGAGCGTCATTAACGCATCCCCGTCTCCCATCACTGGGCTAAGGGAACATTTCTGCGGAACTGTTACTGCTCAAAGGGGAAGGCCAAAAAGGGCATCACAAAAGATGCAAAGTGAGTGTGAGTGACAAGACACATGCGACCAAAAAGTAAGTTTTCTGTGAACACGATTCTTTAAAGTGGCGCAAGCTTATCACTCTGGGTCTGAACGTGCCCTTTTACACAAGGTTCAACGTTACTATCCAGCCGATGGCACAAATACAAGAAGGTTATCATCCGTGCAAACATCATCACCGCTAAATATCGCTGTCCTCTCTCCAAAATGTTTTGAGATCAGGCAAAACCAAACCCTTGGTTCGGAAGGTCTTAGAGCACAGAATGTCACCTGGGGTGAATTTACGTACATGATATATGAATATCTCAGTTTTAAAGAGTTATTCGTTCATCATATAACATGCATTTTGCTGACTAAAGATCATGGCGTACGTTGACAGCGTGAGCCGCGTTCTGAGCGGCCATGCGCCGCCCCGGTCTAGTATTTAGCTTCGCGCGCGGCTGACCTGGCGCTTCGACCCACTGGTCCTGAGCGCCAGTGGCCCCGCTCCCGTCCCCAGCGAGCCCTCTGACTCGGGACACCCCTCCAGCACACGTGCGCGAGAAATACCCCAGCTGGCACACAAGAGCGGGAGCTACCAGCGACGGGTGCTGTCAGCTCTCGGGTATAATACACCATGCCGTGAAAACGAACCCATCTCTAAATTATGTCATCAATGTATGCCATGACGAATTGACCAAGTTTGTACATAACATTGTCCCAGTTACCGAAACGCGTGCCTAGGGCTTTATTATTTTGTGGAGGCGTAGTAACGCTATACGCATGGTGAACGGACATAAAAACAGACACTTCTATTCTGCTTGAAGATGGTTTGCGAGTTTAAACGCACATCTGGAGCCCACGCATCTCGCAATAACAGACAATTGTCGCTAAGGATTCATGACCATTTATGCCACCAATATCTGTTTTCTGGGTGATTAGCTCCATTATGCAGCAAATGTAATAATGGCATTCGCGGCGAAGACGATTGTGATCAATAACATACCTTACTTTTCAGCCGAACTTGTATTTTTATCCGGCATGCTGCTCTGGATCGAAGATAGACTTATTGGTGCCCTAGACCAAAGGTAAGCCCCGGGAGAAGGAACAGAACCTCACCGACCCGAGACAAATATAAAACACCCGTCCTGTTGGTGACATCGCTCAGAATGCGACAAACCTCGGCCCTCGTCTGGTCCGCGTTATCGCTCTGCCGGCGGGGATTCTTATTGGGGGGGGGGGGAGGCCGCCGACCGCGGCGCCTCCACCTCACCTGGTCACGCAGACGAGCTGCTCCTCCTTCCTGACCGGGTCAAACTCGGCACCGAGCGGCGCCGGCACCGCGTGCACCTCCGCTCCGCTCGGACTCATGCTTGGGGCGCGTCTGCCGTCAGGCCGGCGGGCTGCGCTGGAGCGGCGCCCGGCCGGCCGGACCGGTCCGGCCGGCCCGGCCCGGGGGCATCGGCGCCGCACCCGGCCGCCAGCGCCCGGCCCCCGCTGCGGCCGCCGGCTAACGCGCCGGCGGCCGGCACCAGCCGGCCGCGCCCGGCTGACCGAGGCGGGCGGCGGCAACGAGAGCGACTGCGTCCGAGGGGGTGAGCGGGGCCGACAGCGTCCGAGGGAGTGAGCGGGGCCGACAGCGTCCGAGGGGTGAGCGGGGCCGACAGCGTCCGAGGGAGTGAGCGGGGCCGACAGCGTCCGAGGGGTGAGCGGGGCCGACAGCGTCCGAGAGAGTGAGCGGGGCCGACAGCGTCCGAGGGGTGAGCGGGGCCGGCGGCAGATAACGCCGAGCAATGTCCCCACGGGAGGAACCCAGATCGGCGGGGTTTCCACCCGGTCGGCAGAGGGGCTGGGCTCCAGATGGGGACGGATGAAGATCTGCCGCTGGAAAGGGCAGTGGGGTTTACCTGCGGCTGATCCCTCCTGCGTTCCCTCTCAAATGTCAGCGCGCGATGGCTTCGTCGGATTTCCCCGCTATCAGAAGCGGTTATCACGTGAACGCGTACCTACCTTCATAGCCACGCTGGAGCGGCTCACTTTGTCCGGAATGAAATGAAAACGCAAGGCCAGATTTGTCGCGTGAGATCAGCTTAAACGCCGCCAAAAATACACTACCGCCTGATATCAAATGAGGTTGCTGTGGTGGGAGCTGGCAGCCTTTCCGGCGTACTTTCCACTGGACCATGCACGGGGTATGGGACTTAGCCCACAATCCAGCTAATTGTTCCATCATCTGTCTAACGCTGATGATAGAATATTGCATGTTCTGCGGCGTTCGCCCCACCTATTTACACATTCGAAGGGTAAGCGCACGACCAGACTTATCATTGTAACTGATCCTGGGCCATCCGTCATTACCGATCAGCCAGCTTATTGGCCTACGATTCGGTGTGCAGACAGCTTCGCTTGCGAGAGGCTGGCCGCGGCGGCCTCCGGGTCCCGAGGGCGGCGGCGCTCAGCGAGCCGCCATTAACAATGGCCGCCTGCTGAGCGTCGCCATCCTCGCAGCCAATTACCGGCGAGTCCGACACTGGAGGCGTGCCGGAACTCACCGACACTGCCCAGTCACGCCCCCCCCCCCCCTCCCCACCCGTCACCCGGTCCGCTCCCTGTCGCAGCGCGTCACCGGACCCAGGGGTCACTAACGACCTGTCGGCGGGCGGGCGGCGAACCGGGGGCGGACCTGCAGGCGGGGACGTGAAGAGAGGAGGGCCGATGGTGGCTGAGAGGCGGGCCGGGAGGCGGGAGCGTGACGGGAAGCAGGCCGATGGTGGCTGAGGGGCTCTCCGGGAGGCGCGGACGTGACGGGAGAGACCGATGGTGGCTGAGGGGCTCTCCGGGAGGCGGGGACGTGACGGGAGGGACCGATGGTGGCTGAGGGGCTCTCCGGGAGGCGGGGACGTGACGGGAGAGGCCGATGGTGGCTGAGGGGCTCTCCGGGAGGCGGGGACGTGACGGGAGAGACCGATGGTGGTTGAGGGGCTCTCCGGGAGGCGGGGACGTGACGGGAGGCAGGCCGATGGTGGAAAGCTCTGTTGATGTATCTGCGACACATGCATATTTCACGTGCGTCCCATGTGCGAAGCGGCGGAAGGCGCCATGGCGGTCTGATTATTATCACAGTCCGCACCATCACTTACAGTCGAAGGATCGGCCAGACTGTCGCGGATCAACGGATCAGGTGCGGCCTGATGATGGGAGGCCGGCCTTATGTGCCAGCCTTTTGATAGATGTCTACTCCGATACAGCTCAAAGAGGGCCAGAGCTTAGGGTCACCACCTTTGATCTATTTAAAGGTTGAATTTGCATGGATACGGCAAAACATGCTTTGACATCGAGCAACCGGCTGTCGATGGCAAATTTCACCTGATTCGGTCACTATTTCGACTGCTTCGGCTTCGATCCTAAATGGCCATGACCATAGATGGTCACTTCTAGACACTGACAGCAGATAATGTATCATTCTTTGGAAGCAGGACTTCTTGGAAAAATTGTACCGTTGTGCACTAACACGTTATTTGTGCTTATTTCTAAGATTTGATTAGCAGCATGAGTGGGGAACGCGGCATTACTGCTGTGGTTACCACCAAGCATGCCTCTGTTATGGATGAGGTCATGATTTTATCATTTTCCTATGAAAGGTACCTGTTCTGAGGCTTCAGCACACCAAATGTTGACGGTATTCCCGACCATTTACTTGGGAGCACGTGCTCCCGCCTCGCCCTCCTCCCACACACACCACACCGCACCCCACATCCCCACCTCAGCTTATCAGTCCCCACCACTGACCATTCCGCCGTCTCTGATCATGCGATCTGCCTGGTCAGACTGCGGGGAGAAAGTGACAGCCCTGTCAAGAACTGAGCTGTCGCCCATTGACACATGGAACGGTGCATTGCGGTGCGACGAAGACAGCCATGCAGCGGGCCCTGTGGACATGTACGGTAAGAGCGGTCCGCATCGCAGACCGTATCTCGACAACGCTGTATGTATATTACATTCTGTATGCCCTTTTTAAAAGTTGCAATGCCCATTAAAATTGTCGAATAGAATTGTCGCCCGCGGGCTTCGTTTGAGCATGCGCCGTAGCAGAGAAGGGCAGGGACGGCCCATCTCTGGCCGTAGCGGCTCCCAGAGGCCTTCACGAAGTCTCGCCCGATGTGCCTGACATCTCCGTGGCTCACATCAGCTCGCGCTCTGACGTCAGCAGCGGTCTCTGACCAGCCGCGCGCAAGGCTCCCCTCCCGCCACGCGCTCGCCAAACCGCAGCTGCGCATGCAAGACCGCCGCGCCCCTGCCCACGCACACCTAGCCCAGTCAGCTGACGCGTCAACATCATGACCTGGGGACGGACGCGACGGCACGCTTCCAGCACGGGCTGAGGCGAGACTGGGAGGAAGGTGGGGTGACCCGGGGAAGGGACGGGGGGGGGGACCGCCCAGTGGAGTCAGCGACCCACCAGGGTCGCGCCGCGCCACCACTGGCGCAGCTTTCACTCAGCTGTCGGCTCTGCTCGACGGCCGATTTTCACTCACGCAACTGGGCATTAGCGCTGCAGGTGGTTGGCGGAGGACCGGTCGGTGCTCAGCGGGCCGGAATGATCCGGCAGCGCTTCAGAGGGCCGCCATGGCGTCTCGAGCCGCCCGCGTCACGGCCCGTCACATCTGCCGCCAGCTTTAGAGGCCCGGCGCTGATGGTCGGCACGGCAAGACGCCGCCGACTCGCCGAGATTCACCCGACACGGCATTTTGGCGGACTTAGCGAGCACGGGTAAGAAGGTATCTCGGTGTAAGGACGAGTTCCGTTATCTCACCATCAGCGGGCCAGTTCGAGTGACTAGGTCACGGGTGGGCACTAAGGATCAGGCTCGCCATGCTAACTCGATGTTCGGGTGGCCGTGCCGGTGCGTCGATCGGTTATTACAGATGGTATCTGCGACTTGGAGGCAAAACGGGTATAAGCAGTAAAACCCCTGCATCGGGTAAATGGACAGGACTTATCAGTTATTACCTTATCTGATTAGTTTATTACTAATCACCTTACTTGCCGGCAGCATTCGCCGGTCGTCGGCGAGCACCGTGGCGTTGACTGGCTGCCAGCACCGCGGCAACGTCCCGCACGCCGTCGGCCGCCTCCGTTCCGCGCGGACGCACCGCGACAGTAACAGCCGGCGACAGATGGGGGCGTGCACACCCCGGACACGTGCAGCTCTCCCTCGCGCGGTCATGTCATCAAGCTGTGCCCTTCTCGACGAGGTGTTTAGATAGGCCGATAAGAGATCTGCCGGCCCCACCCTCGGTATGTACCGTGCAGAACACCTGCTCACGACATGGCGGACCGTCTTCAGCCGTCGGGCCTGTCGGACACCTCTGCGTGCCACACCTCGCTCGACACTCCTGCGCGGGCAGATCATTTTTCCGCGACAGCCTCCGCCAGGAAGACGGGCGAACCGGCCGGCCGGACGGTGCGTGAGGAACGGCCGGTCCGAGCCCTTCGTGTCAGAATGCGGATCCGGGCAGCGGCGGGGGCACATCTCGTGCGGGTAGTGCCGCATACCGGCCGCCCGGGACCGGCCAGCGGAGACCGTGATCTCGCCGAGATACGGACGACGGAGACCGTGATCGCGTCGGGATGGAGCTAGCGGAGACCGTGATCTCGCCGAGATACAGACGACGGAGATAACGATCTCGCCAAGGTAGAGCCAGTGGAGACCGTGGTCTCACCGAGATGCAGGCGACGGAGACTGCGATCTCGCCAAGATGGAGCTGGTGGAGACTGAGCCGTCGCCGAGATGTACTCGTTCGCACTGGCGGCTGCAGTCTCACCCAGAAAAGGGCGGCGGGGTTCGTGATCTTGCCAAAACGAGCGCATCCGTATCCGACAGGTGATGTGCTCGGGACATGTGCTGATCACATCGCTCAAGCACGAATAGGCCAACTGTGGCTCATTGCTTAGCTCTCGTACAGTCGAGCATCGATCTTTCGCCCGGGATTTCCCCAGATAACAGTCGGAGGCCTCTGGTCTTGTGTTGAACCTGATCTCAAGAGGTGCTTTTGCCAAATGCCGAGTAGCCATTCGATTGTAACCGTGTTTGAAGGATGGCATCGCTAGCATGGGTTTCAAATAAGTTACGCAGGACAGGAAGCCTTTTGTCTTTGGATGTAGTCAAATCCGATCCGAAGCAACGATGTCCCACCATGATCATGAACTCATCCAATCCACTCCCCTTTAATCCGCTGCTACCCATAGTTCAAAAGTGTAAAATGGATGCACAGCGTGCGCGGGGAATGCGCCGCAGAGCGTGTTTCCCGCTTTCCAATGGCGCAGCTTTACAGGCTCAGGACTGCGAGGATGAACCGACTGTCGACCAT